TTGAAAGTATGGCCTGCGTGGATGCCATAGCCCCAGCCGTGTCGTTCTTCTGATCGGAACCACCATCCATCGGGGTCTTAAGGGTTATGAATGTCTTAAGGGCTAGGGCTTTTGAAAGTATGGCCTGCGTGGGTGCCATAGCCCCAGCCGTGTCGTTCTTCTGCTCCGAACCACGATCCTGGAAGGTTCAAGGGCTTAAGGATTATGAGGTCTTAAGGGCTTCGGGTTTTAAGGGCTTCGTGGTCTTAAGGATTATGGGGCCTTAGGGGTTTGGGGTTTCAAGGGTTTGGGGGTCTTAAGGAATATGAAACCAAAAGGGTATGGCCTGCGTGGATGCCATAGCCCCAGCCGTGTCCTTCATCTGCTCGGAACCACCATCCTGAAAGGGCTCGGGGTCTTGAGGATTATGAGGTCTTCCGGGTTTCCCAGCCCTCGCCGTGTCATCCTTCTGGTCGGAACCACCATCCTGAAAGGGCTCAATAGGGCTTGAGGATTATATGAGGTCTTAAGGGTTTGGGGTTTTAAGGGCTTGGTGGTCTTACGGGTTGTGGGGCCTTAGGGGTTTGGGGTTTTTGGTTGCATCCCCCCCAGCCGTGTCGTTCTTCTGGCCGGAACCACCATCCTGAAAGGGTTCCGATGCTTATAAGGATTATGAAGACTTACGGGTTTGGGGCTACAGGACTATAGGTGTTTGAGTATGGGGGTATTAAAAGGATTAGGGGCGTGAGGGTTTGGGGGCTCAAGGTTTGCAAGGCCTTCTGATTGGATGCCCCAGCCGTGTCGTTCTTCTGGTCCAAACCACCATCCTGAAAGGGCTCCGAGGCTTATAAGGATTATGAAGACTTAAGGGCTTGGGGCTAGAGGATTTAGCTGTTTGGGTATGGGGGTATTAAAAGGATTAGGGGCGTGAGGGTTTGGGGGCTCAAGGTTTGCAAGGCCTTCTGCTTGGATGCCCCAGTCGTGTCGTTCTTCTTGTCCGAAGCATCATCCTGAAAGGGCTCGGAGGCCTAAGGAGTATGAAGACTTGAGGGTTTGGGGCTATATAGGACTGTAGGTCTTTGGGGATGAGGGTGTTAAGGATTCGGGGGCGTGAGGGTTTGGGGTTTGAAGGTTTGCAAGGCCTTCTTCTTGGGTGTCCCGGTCGTGTCCTTCTTCTTCAAGTCCGAAGCACCCTCCTGAAAGGGCTGCTGGGGGTTTTAAGGATTAAGGGCGTCAGGGTTTGGGGTTTCAAGGCTCAGCCACCTTGGATGCCACAGCCGTGCCCTTCTTGTTCGGGTTGGAACCAACATCCTGAAAGGGCTGGCGGGGGTCTTAAGGGTTAGGGCCTGGTTTGGGGTTAAGGCTTCAGGATGAAGGGTTTAAGGAGTTGGGGGTTTAGGGTTTGGGCTCCTGTGTTGGACTGATTCTTTGCAGTATCCCAAGAGAATCAGGACGTGCCTTCGGCTCCTGGTCGCTGGGCTTCGCCTTCTTGGAAGCCTGGAGGTCATCCTGGCCAAGCATAAATTCAAAGTTTCGAGGTGTTGGGGTGTCAGGGTTTGAAGACTCACGGGTTAGGGGCTTGGGCTTTGCGAGTTCGGGGCTGTGCCTTCGGCTGCTTGCCATCAGACTTGTGCTTGGTCATGCGATGCTGAACATCCTCCTCAGCAAGTACTGATGAAGTAAAGGCTCAAGGATTGTGTTCCAGGTTGTATTCTTTTCGGATTCAAGGCTTTGGGCTTATTTATGTTAAGGTGCATTGTTTCCTGGAACAAGACAATTAAAAACAAACCATGCGCAAACCGTAACCTTTAGGAGAGCCTAAAGCTTGGATTGATGTTTGAGGATAAAACGACGACAAGAAACTTGGGTCACCAGGCCAGATTCAAAGATATCGCCGTCGGCGAAGAAACAGCGAACGGCTGCGTGAGGACCTCTGTCATCCAAGGATGGCAGGTTTGACCACTCCGTCGGTCCCCGCTTCTTTCCCCCCAGGATTCTCATCCTCCAAGCTCGCCCTTGCGACTTGTCGAAGCCGTACTCATACTCGGGCTTGCCGTTCAGCTCCAAAGTCGCAATTCCTTTTCGCTGGTATTCATCTCTCATCACACTCGCGGACACATCCTCCAGTGCAGGCGGCTCCGGAAGAGTCGCGACGTCGGCGACTTCGCCACCCGGCTCAGTCTCCCGATCATCCGGCGACTTGGCTTTCAGCGGCTCCGGCGTCATCTCCGGCTCATACGGAAGCAGCAATCCTGCGATCCCCATCTTTGTATTCTTGACACTAAGTTAACTGATAGGACAGGCATGTTGAAAACCAGCACATTGGCCCATAAGTCAGAAACCCGAGTATATTGTTTAGGGTAGATGCACATCTGAATCGCAGATTCGGCCTTCTTGCTCAGCAAAAGCGGTGATGGACTCCATAGCTCCCATAGGAACTTCGCTGCTTGCAAAAGCTTCCTCAGCCGAAGTGACACACATGGCTGATTCTGATTCGCTGCATCCCCCCGAGAAGCGTTCACGATTTCAATGAAAAAGAAACCAACATGCTATCTTATTGATGTAAGGGTCTGCGAAAAAGTCGTACGGTTTCTGGGCCTTCTGCTGCTGGCTCTGGGCTTTTGCTTCTGGCTTCGACTTGGCTGCGGTCATAGGTCTCTTGCTTGCTCGTGCTGTCTGCTTTGCGGCTGCCGTCTTTGTTGCTGGAGCTGCTGTCTCCTGCAAAACGTGGCTCTTTGTTGTTGGAGCTGCTGTCTCCTGGACAACGTGGCTCTTTGTTGTTGGAGCTGCTGCCTCCTTGGAAAAGTGTCTCCTTGTTGGAGCTGCTGTTGCCATGACTGTTGTCGTCGTTGTTGTTGTAGCTAGTGTCTCATTTGCAACTTTTGTCTTCTTTGCATCTGGTTTCTCCAAAGCAGCCGCTGCAGGCCGCTTCAAACATGCTTCGTTGTCTGGCTCCGTGCATTCGTCATGCTCCATCTCTTCCTCCTCTTCATTCTCTTCATCCCCTTCATACTCTTCATTCTCTTCATTCTCCTCTCCCTCCTCGGCATCCCCGAGCTGCGACTCGATTGTCTCCTCTGTCCTCTGCGTCTGCTGGGTATCCTGCTCCTCTTTTGAACTCCCATCGGCGTCTTCCTCTCCCTCTTTCTTTTTCTTTTTCTTCTTCTTCCTCTTCTCTCGTGTAGAGTTCCACATATCCTGCCACACAGAATCTCGAGCAGAATCCGCAAAGCCCTGGCTTCGACCTTGATAAACCTTGAATCCCAACAAAAACTTTGAAGCCCTGTGAGGCCTTGGGGAGCCAGCTGCGACATCTCAGGGCATCTTGGGCTACATGTCGGAAGGCCGCAGAAAGCTTTAAAGCGTAGGCCCCTGCCCACGTCGCCGAGACCGTCAACTTCTCATCCTGGGCAACACATCGTTAATTCGCAATCCTGGGATTATGCGGTTTGATGCTTCTACAGCTTTATGCCAAGTAGCCCGAGCTATCTGCTGCAATGCTGCCGTGATCGTGCTGTGCGAGAAGTTCCATGTGCGGTCCACGGCCTGAACCTTTTTAAAGTGCGGGAGGTACTCCTTCAGCTTCTCCTTGTCTCTCGATTTCATGCTCCTGGGCATGAGGTATAGCGATCAACTGGATCAGACTTTGAGGTTATGCTATCGATAATGAAGAGTGACAGGATCGACAAACGAAATACTGCACAAAGGCTTCCAGGCTTCCTATCGGATCCATAGCTTATGAAGAAGGGAACTTTCACCCAGGGTCGCAGGGCATCGCACAACTTGTCCATGGCATCACTAGATCTCGAGGCCCCGAGCAAGCTTGCTCGCAGGCCTCTTCATTGCGACTTCCTACAGCCCTCAAGTCTGAAGCTTTGACCCCTGGTTTTGTGACCCTCGGAGCTTGCAACACAACAGCGGGGCCTCAAAACTCGGGTTGAACCCTAAATTAAGCTCAAGCCCAAAACCCACCAAAAGGCTCGAGGAAGCTTACAGCACTGAAGGACCCCTAGGAGACTTGAAGCACCACAGGCCCAAAACCCTGACTTCTAGGAGAGTCTTAGCGTCAAGGTGTTGAAACCCGGTTAAACACCCCAAGCCTCAAAGCACTTGCAGCCCTAAGGCCCAAACACAGAGGTTGAAACCTTTGAAATCCCATGAAGTCTATCTGTCCTCGGGTTGATCGAATTGACTGAGGCGAGGCGGCGGACTGCAGAAGTCTGAACTGCGATTATGGGCTTTCTGGCAGAGACTACAAGCTGACAGGCTGAAAAGTCGACGAGCTCAAAAGTTCTTGGCGGGCTTTTTGGCAGAGACTACGTGTGCAAGCTGACAGGGTGAAAAGTCGACAAGCCTCTGTGCAGTTCGATTCCCTGACCTATGAGACGTGGCGTATCGGACTGTCCAGCATTGATCGTGATTGGTGAGGCTTGCTCCGCTCAAAATTCCGAGCCAGCCAGACCAAGCTTTTTTGCTTGCGGCTGGGATTATAAGAAGATCGCTGTGTATGTTTTGGTGTACTACCCACAGTCAGTCCCTGAAACCCTTGATATACAGTGGCTGGTGCATACAGCAAACTTAACACAGGCGACTTCAAACTTTGGCTGGTATCCAGCATTCAGAGGCAGCACTGCCTATACAGGTCCGGAAAGATCCTCAGCACTACAGGGTCAGAGCAGCAAGGCTACGAGTCTGACCACAAGCTCAGAGCAGCAAGGCTACAAGTCTGAGCACAAGCTCAGAGCAGCAAGGCTACAAGTCTGAGCACAGACCTGAAGAAACAAGACAAAACAGTTTCGCGGGAAGCCCTCACAGCCGTTCAATCGTCGCCGTCGGATGCTGCAGCATCACACAAGGCCGGGCCGGGGTCCCGGGGTTCCGCAGTGAGGATCGCCTGCAAGCTCTCCGACAAGTCTTCCCAGGACAGGAACGTCTCGATTCTTGCCACCGCACACAAGTCGTGCAGGTCTTCCAGGAAATACTGCACGAGCCTCATAAGCTGGAACTCCTGCCGGGAGTTTTTAACAAGAAGAAACTTGTAGAGTGCAGCCTCCATCAAGCGTCCAGCCGACCCATTTTTTGTAATTCCAGTTTCCTCCACAGCCCTTTGGCGCCAACAGCATCATCCCATACTTGAGCACGTCGTTGCCAACCGCCCGGATGCCCTGCTTCGCACGTTTTTTATGGAATTTGTCATGCTGCGCATCCAAAACAGCAGTGCCTTGCCCATGCAACCGGATCAGAATCTCGGAGAGGTCGGCCACCAAATCATCCATCCGAATCCGGAGCTCGCACACGGACTGCAAAAGTGCCTTGACTTGCTGCTGCATCGGGCGGGTGATGCAGGCCCCATCCTGGTCACATTGCTTGCAACAATTGCGCCCATCCGGCAAGCATGCTGCTCGGGCTTTCAACTGAGCCGGCTGCCGCTGAGCCTTGTTCTGCATCTTCTGGCACACAGGGCACTCCATTCCGTCCGGAAAGGCCCTTCGCGAAACACAAAAATGTACTCCTGAAAACCGAAACAGCAATCATTCCAGGTTTAAGAGTTTAAACATTATGGCTCCAGGCATGCGAACTGTTAGTGCACAGACATGCATGCATGCAATCCTTTTCACAAAGCCCTTGCACCCAGGTACCGACTCTCGTTTAAACTAATTCGAGCTTTCGCAGCCACTGATACTCTGTGTGCTTGCTTCGGTATGACAAAGAATCGGGAGCCAGATCTGGAAGTCGGAGCTCAATCGTGTACATCAGCACTTCCAAGTGGTCCCGCAAGGTGTCTTCCCTTAATTGGCTTGCTATGTGTGATATATATATATATGCATGCATGCAGACCTGCAAAAATGGAAAACATTGCCAATTGCAAGCCCAGGATCTGGAATTGATCGACGAAGCTTCGGACCCACATTGTAACCAAATAGCGAGCAAGCTTTCTGTCGGCACCACTTCTTCTGAGTTGTCGCTCGACAGACTTTGCTTGCTCTTGCAGCGAAGGCCGATCATTGCCAGTCAAAGGGAGCTCAAACTCAAGCATTCGACGGTCGTCGTCCATGGCAGTCGACATGTATGTGCAGATTCGAAGCAGTCTTAACACAAAGTTTGTGCTGCAAGGTCGTGGATTCTAAATAAAATCCGAATCTTGTGCACATGCCCGAGTACCTGAGCCCAAAACCTGGGGCCGATCATTGCCACTCAAAGGGAGCTCAAACTCAAGCATTCGACGGTCGTCGTCCATGGCAGACATGTATGTGCAGATTCGAAGCAGTCTTAACACAAAGTTTGTGCTGCAAGGTCGTGGATTCTAAATAAAATCCGAATCTTGTGCACATGACCTAGTACCTGAGCCCAAAACCTGGAGGGTTTTCAAGGTTTCGAAGCTACAACAAAACCCTCAGTCCCAGGACCCTGAATTTTTTGACTCTCGAAGGCGATGTGAGACACAGTGTTGCCATCGTGGCACAATCCGGAGCCATTTGTTTCAACTCCCATAACGGGCCAGAGCAAGTTTACACAAACCTGAGCATGATGCTCAACATTTCGCCACCGAACCGGGCAAGTCACATTTAGAACAACATTTCGCCACCGAACCGGGCAAGTCACATTTAGAAAAATAGAGACGATTTCTTGAATGGATCTAAAATTTAGAGACACTAGCTGGTGGATCTAATTTATAGATGCACCCGGGGGTCTGGGTGGTTGTGACGGACCTCTTGAGGCAAGTCGGGTCAATCTGGCTGAGGTCGCTTTTCCCCGTGGAAGCCGTTGCAACCGACGACATACGTCGTTTAGGTTCTCCTCACCCTCCTTCCCATTCCTGCTCTGGGCGCTACGCACCACCACTTGAGTCTTTCCAGGTTCGGTGGGCACTCTCGTAATGGGTGACCTTGGTCACGGTTTTGCCTTTTGGGCGGAGCCCTGACTTGCGCTGCTCTGGGTTCGACGCACAACAATTTGCTCCCTACGGTCTGCATCACTTGCCCGGCCGCCTGCGTGCTGTGACGGGCGACTTGTTGTCGCTGGACGCCGGCGTCCGCGCCGCCCTTGCGCCTTGCACTCCAGGAACGACTGGTTTTGTCCTTGGGTGTGGGTGTGCGTCGCCGGCAGGTTGTGAGTTGCTCTCCTGCGACTCTGGCCATCGCGCTCCTGTCTGGAAGCCGCTCACGCGTGCAGTGGGCTTTGGACTTTTGGATTTTGGTGTGCACGATCGCGACGGAACAAAACACAGGGGCTGTCCGTTGTCTGGCGAGACTAGAACGGCTGCCGGAGCCTGGTCTTGGCTCCACCTGTTGTTTTGGGCAGCTCAGAGCGACGGCTCTTTGTTGCTCCGAACCGGTCGCTGAGGCTCCGTAGTTGTGCTGAACGGCTACCACCGGCTAAGCCTGTGCACCGCAGCCCTTTGTAGAGCTTCGCTTCTTTGTCTCACCGCTTTGCCAGTTTGAAGTTTGTAGTTTGTAGTTTGTGTTAGCTTCGCTTGTTTGTAGGGACCGAGTGCTACAGCCGTAGTCGACGAGGCCCAGTCAAGCCAAAAAAAATGAATCCATCTAACATCCACAGCCGCCCCGAAAGCTCGCCCACAAGGAGGTGGAAGACATGGAGGTTGGAATTCCAACACTTACCACGACAACCAAGGGGAAGAGCAGAAACAAGGGGAAAGCCAAAGGAAAGGGCATCGAACCCAGAAGAAAATCTCAGGCCCTGGGAACTTGATCCTCCATCAGATCCTGCGGCTACATGGTTGCGGGACAACACGTGATCGGCAATGCCATCCAGCATGAAACCTCTGCGCTTCGCTCATGAATTTCATTGCAATGCCTCTTTCTTCGGTGACACCCACTTCGTAGGGGATTGTCACTGACGTAGATGAGTGTCACAATGTTTCTAATTGGGATGCAAGGCTCCGATTCCATATTTCAAACTTGCGGCGGACTAATCCCTAGTGTTCCTATCGCCCCATCTTCCGGGTGAGCAGCGTCGGAGA